AATGAGGAATGCTTTGGCGGCTATGACGTAACATGTACCCCAAGCTTTGCTTTGATTTTCGCGTTATGCGGAAACCTTAATATTCTATTTTGAGCCCGAAATCAAATTCTAAGGTAATAAATATTGTTTCAAAAAATTGCTTCAAAAAAAAACAAAACAAAAAAAAAAAAACAAAAAACAAAGTGAGACGAATATTATGCAATCATCGGTCATGCCAAAGGGCTGTAGGAGAATATTTTGTTTGTGATGAATGGGGAAATGTTTGTTAGTAGACCAAATACATCACTAATTACTCAGTTGGATCTGTCTGCCCATATTTCATTGATTGTCACGTAAGACTCCGATGAATAAWCATTTAACCTACAGCGCATTTTGAAAACATCTTGCGGGACAAGTGTCAGCAATCGTTAAAAAAAGTATTGTAGAGTTCGTTTCTATTGGCAACGATTGCGTCTCTGTTGCGACTTGTAAACACTCGATCTTGCGACTTGTGTCGCAGCGCTTTTGCGAGACAGGTGGCTGAGAAATCGCAACACTAATTGCGTTCTTATTTCGTTGTTCTCTCCAAACGACATTAAAAATCTTATCATTTTTGAGTGTTAAAAAAAATTATTCAAAATTTTAAATTTGCAAAATTTATGATAAAAATACATTTTTTAGATGTTTTTATAGCCAGTAAAAGATGTTGGTTTAGCCTGGTTTTGGCCTCTAAAAGACYCTCGTTCTAATTTCCCTCCATGATTCGATCTGGATATTAACTATACAAAGTAAATTGCCTTAAGCCCCGTTTACACTAGCGATTTTTTTGCGATTTTTGCTGCGATTTTTTTGCGATTTTGTACATAATAAATAATGGTGAAGAATTTACTTGTAAAGTTTTTTTCAGGATACCAAGATTTTCCTAGACGAATAACTCTTTTGAAGGATGAGACAAAAGATTTTATATTTCCGAAAATTGCCACAAAAATCTCAGCAAAAATCGCCATAACAAAAATTGCCGCGGAAATCGCCGCGGAAATCGCCGCGGAAATCGCCGCGGAAATCGCCGCGGAAATCGGAAATTTTTATACGACTCGCGGTTTTGGTTCATATAGTGTTTTACTCTAAATCGAAGCGAAATGAATAAGATAAATCTGTTGTTTTCGACGGAAAAAGAGGAAATAACATGCTCTTATCACACAAAAGGCGGGTCACAGTAATGTCTAAGTTGGCAAATTTCTAGTTCGAAGTCCTGAAAATCCAATCTTTTCAGTTGAACATCAATTTTCAGTACGCGGAGAATATCCGCATTCAGTCTCCAATCTTCCTGATTTCGAAAAAATGGCTTAATGTTAAGTAATATTTTTTTTCAAATATAGTTTTGCGTACGATCTCCGAAATCGCGACATCAACACTCGTCACGAAAATTTAAGCTATTCAGCGTATCTGCATGCTTTAGCTAGAACTTCAACCAAAGTTACTAGGCTGATGTATTTCAATCGCTTAAGCCCCGTTTACACTAGCGATTTTTGCGGCGATTTTTGCTGCGATTTTTTTGCGATTTTGTCCATAATAAATAATGGTAAAGAATTTACTTGTAAAGTTTTTTTCAGGATACCAAGATTTTCCTAGACNTATATTTCCGAAAATTGCCACAAAAATCTCAGCAAAAATCGCCATAACAAAAATTGCCGCGGAAATCGCCGCGGAAATCGCCGCGGAAATCGCCGCGGAAATCGCCGCGGAAATCGGAAATTTTTATACGACTCGCGGTTTTGGTTCATATAGTGTTTTACTCTAAATCGAAGCGAAATGAATAAGATAAATCTGTTGTTTTCGACGGAAAAAGAGGAAATAACATGCTCTTATCACACAAAAGGCGGGTCACAGTAATGTCTAAGTTGGCAAATTTCTAGTTCGAAGTCCTGAAAATCCAATCTTTTCAGTTGAACATCAATTTTCAGTACGCGGAGAATATCCGCATTCAGTCTCCAATCTTCCTGATTTCGAAAAAATGGCTTAATGTTAAGTAATATTTTTTTTCAAATATAGTTTTGCGTACGATCTCCGAAATCGCGACATCAACACTCGTCACGAAAATTTAAGCTATTCAGCGTATCTGCATGCTTTAGCTAGAACTTCAACCAAAGTTACTAGGCTGATGTATTTCAATCGCTTAAGCCCCGTTTACACTAGCGATTTTTGCGGCGATTTTTGCTGCGATTTTTTTGCGATTTTGTCCATAATAAATAATGGTAAAGAATTTACTTGTAAAGTTTTTTTCAGGATACCAAGATTTTCCTAGACGAATGTCTCTTTTGAAGGATGAGACAAAAGATTTTATATTTCCGAAAATTGCCACAAAAATCGCAGCAAAAATCGCCAGTGCAAACGAGGCTTTAGAGTTCTAGCGCTCTTTGATATGCGGATATATTGTGTGGGGAGATAAAGGCAATATCGCGTTGTTGCAATCACTTCAAACATTGCACAACAAAGCCGCCATGATCATGGTGGACCGCTACGCCCTCTACTGATGCACGCAAGGTACTCAACTGGAAAAATCTCACTCAACGTAGACATTATCAACAAGGAACTATTTGGTTGTCATCGTTGTTTGCACATTTTCAAATGTAAGAAAATTTCACTTGCTGCCAGATATCAAGTTGTCCAAGCTAAATGAACATGGCTATAACACAAGACAGAGAAATGAGTTTCGTTTGGAAAATGATATGATAAATTGGGGGAAACACAGGATGTCTTATCAAGCCATTAAAGAATAAAACAATCTAAGTAATGATACCACTGACGCTCTACGATTTCTCAGTTTAAATCCAGTTTCTTTATGCGTTTAGCAATTTGTACCATTTTTTGGAAAAAATCTATTTCTATATTTCTTCATTTAAAATATCCGTCTGAACAATGGTGCTTTTAACGCATCGAAGTCCATTCTCAATCGTGGAAATTAAATATTTTATATAAACAATGAATTACTTCTAATTTCCCCTGTTTGGGACAATAATTATAAACTCAAGACCTTTTAAAAATGCAGCGCAAAAGTTGAACCCGGAACTGGAAATTGGAAAAAAAAATAAAATAAAAAAATAAAAAACAAAAAAAAAATCAATGATTTACGTTCCAATTTCCCCTATTTGAGGAATAACTATGACCGCAGAAGCTTTTAAAAATGTAGTACGTAAGTTTTATTTTTGAGTCTTTCATTTTTAGTCTTTGTGAGGAGATACTATAAAGAAACGATTCGAATTCACTGATATTCCTAGCTTCTCCAACACAAGGTAAAGAGCACAGCTGAACTTTACACTCGCTCGCATCCGCTAAGCCGCATCCAAGAGATATTTTTTTCCGATTAAAGATAAAGGAAGGTACGGTTATTATTAGTAATATTATTTTGAAATATTGACAAAATTGCGTGTTTGTACATATCGAACTTTAGCTTCAAGATGTTTTAAATTGTAATATTAATCTAAGTCAGGGCGCTGCTAACTCACAGATCAAACCCTGAAACAACCTCTGGGCTGACCTAAGTCAGGGCATGGCTAACTCACCGATCGAACCCTGAAACAATCTCTTGGCTGATCTAAGTCATGGCACGGCTAACTTCACAGATCAAACCCTGAAACGACCTCTGGGCTGATCTAAGTCAGGGCACGGCTAACTCACAGATAGAACCCCGAAACAACCTCTCTGGGCTGATCTAAGTCAGGGCATGGCTAACTCACAGATCGAACCCTGAAAACAACCTCTGGGCTGATCTAAGTCAGGGCACAGCTAACTCACAGATCGAACCCTGAAACAACCTCTGGGCTGATCTAAGTCAGGGCGCTGCTAACTCACAGATCGAACCCTGAAACAACCTCTGGGCTGATCTAAGTCAGGGCATGGCTAACTCACCGATCGAACCCTGAAACAACCTCTGGACTGATCTAAGTCAGGGCACGGCTAACTCACAGATTGAACCCTGAAACATCCTCTGCGCTGATCTAAGTCAGGGCACGGCCAACTCACAGATCGAACCCTGAAACAACCTTTGGGTTGATCTAAGTCAGGGCACGGCTAACAACTTGCTCTCCAAATCAGTATCAATGAACCCTTCATCTATTTTCACCATTAAACATATGCGTTCGAGAAATGTGATTTTAAGTTAATATGTGAAATAACAAATGGGCGAGGTCACCATTCTCGTTTTGGATTTATTTTGAAAAAAAATATATGGTATTTTCGTTTCGATTAAGAAAAATTTCGATTTAAGTTTTGGATAGAATTGAGACTGAGTAAGTTCCATGATTGTACTACTATGCGCAGAAAAATGCGCAGTGCAAAACAAGGAGATTGCCTTAACGCCCACGCTGCTCCTATCCTTGCTGCATTTTTTTTTTAGTTTTATTCTTAAGGTGTTCTTGATACATCGGCCGACATGTGTAAACTTATGCATTCGTAGCCCCTAACTCTAGTAGGGGATGGAAAGTAATTTTTGTGGAAGCTATTATTGAATGGCATTTAGATATTGACGAAGGAAAAGTTCATCCTGTCGTGTTTTTCGATCTATCCAACATCCTTTAATACATTTGACCATAACATTATGMTTCGTAAATTTGAAAAGCCACCACGGAATACGTGGATGTGGCCTAACTTTAAAACGGTTTAAATCATATTTCTGCAATAGAGAGCAAAAATGCTTCGTTTTTGCCATGAAATCAGCTGTGGCGTTCCCCATGCAGTATCCTAGGGCCCCTCCTTTTTTTCGATATATATAAAGAAYTAGGGACAAAGTTCTTAGTATCGCACGCACCAGTAAATTGCCAGTTGGGCTATTTGTAGAAATTGGATGCAGTTTAAATTTCGCCTTACCTTACTCCTGTGCGTCAACTAGCGCGTGTTCGCGCCCTTTCCGTTTTTGATCAAAACAAGGAACGGAAAGAGAGCACGCGCGCTAGTTGATGACGCACGGGAGTAGGGTGAGGAGAAATTTTCCACTTTCAATATTCCATCTTCATTTCGTTTCRATTTTTGTGACTTGATTTGATTGCAGTGACTGAATTCCCACGAGCTTTCAGTAGAATCATGGAAGAAAGATTCAAGATAGRATCATTTATCACAAATATCAGTAGATGTAACTCCACCATCACCACCAACTGCACCAGAAAGTTCGTCTTTGCGCCTGTCAGTAACAACGTCAAACTCATGATGTTCACCGCCATGTTGTCTTTTGGATTGTATGGGCYGACTGCAAACTCCCTGATACTCTACTTCAAGCACAAACAACACAGAAGTACAAGTAATACATTACAAAGACCATGTAGACGAAACTTGACTGAATACTTTATTCAAAGTCTTTGTCTTTCCGATATCCTTTGCTCTCTTATAAGTCTCCCTCTCTATTCGACGGAAATGTTCGTTAGCTTCGTTACGAGAGACTGGATTTGCAGATTTTCTCGTTTCTTTATCACTATTTTCCCTGTAGTYACGATTCTGAATCTCTTAGTTATCGGCGTAGAAAGATATATTGTTATTTTTCATCCATTTTTTTCTCTACGGCGAAAATCGGCTAAGAAGATGGTTGTGGGATCTTGGGTCTTGGGAGCTTTGATAACTCTTATGTCAGTAGTTTTTGTTAGGCTTGTGAAACATGACATTGGGGAAAACCTCTATACTTTAGTTTGTAAATACGATAAGTCAGTGCTGTTATATCGAGCCTTTTTCACCGGTTTTATCTTTATTTCATACATCGCACCGAGTTTTATTTTGACTTTCATCAACCTTCGTATTTTAAAGCGGCAACGAAACGTCAAACGTGTTGACGCTTCTCAAACGACTCAGAGGGCTGTGGCTAAGCTAAAAGTAACGCGGATGTTCGTCTCCCTGATATTTGCTTTTATCATTCCYTACRYGRTCTTCGTTGCGTATTCAAGTTTTCGAACGGCTGCCAAATCTGGTCYATCTTTCTCTGACGACTACATAGTTCGTCATATGAGTGTTTGTWTGGCTTATGCCAACGGTTCAGTAAGCGCTAGCCTGTTGATATATTATGAAAAGTTATATCTAGATTTTTTGTCGTGTTTTCGATCAAGACACACTAGAAATGATCAGTTGAATGCAGAGTTGAATGCAATTAATCGAAGACAAGTTCCTGTTGAATTAACCGACTCCAAAAAGAACACCACGAGTTCAACAACTTAGCAGTTTGTACCAGTATCGTTGCCCAAAACTGAGCGATATAAGCTAAGTTCGATCACTTGAACCGTCATTGAAGTAAAGTTTCTCTGGGTCCTCTGGTTTTCGTCCCTACGGCACTAAAAACAACGTACCCCTTTTATTTTCAAGTCTGCCGTATTAATTGGCCTATACTATATAGCGATGGCATTAACACTTTACAGTGTTACAAAACCGAAAAACAAAAAAACAAACAAACAAACAAAAACAAAACAAAACAAAAACAAAAAAACAAAACAAAAGAAAAAAAAAAATTAAAAATTAAATATATAAAACACAAAATTAAAGGACAGAAGAAAAATTTGCATTTTCAAAATCACTTATATGTGAAGAGTGTAGTGCTGTGGCTGCCGTATTTTTGTATGTGGTCCTCTTTTCAAAGATATAAACATCGTCTTTCTTTTCATGTAAATAAATTTTAAATTTAAAAATTAGTACCTATATAATAAAACAAATAAAACAGCTTTTTCCGTGCTCCATTTAGTAATAAAGCACTTAGGAAGCGCCGTAAGCACTTAAAAAGTGTGAGAACTGAGCACTCGCCTACGGCCCGTGCTYCTCCTTACACTTCTTTCGTGCTTACCTCAATTCCTACGTGCTTTATTACTGAACGGAGAACAGAAAAAGCTGTTTTATTTGTCAAATAACAGTGGATTAATGACACTTTATTTGCTTAGATACATGTATATATTTGTGTATAGAGGATATYACACGGTGGCGCGAAGATATGAAGTTTATCTTCAGTGGTGAAATATTTTTCAACGAGAGAAATAAGAATATATGTAATGTATATAATGCATATAA